TCTCCAGGCCAGGACTTACTCGTATGGGTACTAAGAAGTTGACTAAAGGATCAAGTGTAGCGGAGCAGCAGCCGAGGAGGCAATGCTGCTTCTACCTCATGGCCATGAACCAGATGAGGAGGATGAACTTGCCTACTACTTTCTTGTCCCCTGCACTAGAGGAACCAGTTAGCATGGAGGAGGCATTGGCTAGACCACATAGGGAGAATTGGCGAATTTATAGGGATGCTGAGTACCAGAGCCTGCTAGAGAATGGGACATGGGATCTGGTGGTGCTGCGTGAGGGGAAGAAAGCCGTATAGTGCAAGTGGGAGCTAAGGATCAAGACCGATGACAAGGGACAGGTCACCATCTACAAGAGTAGGCTGGTGGCTAAGGGGTTTATGCAGAAGGAGAAGCAGGACTTCAATGAGATCTTTGCTCCCTCTGCCAAACCCCCTACATTTCGTATCTTTTTGGCAGATGCAGTCGTTAGTGGGAAATTCATCATTCAGATGGATATATGAACGGCATTCCTCAATGGGATTTTAGAGGAGGATGTGTACATGACGCAGCCGCCTGGGTATGAGGATGTTACGGGCAGGGTGTGGAAGCTGAAAAAAGTCCATCTACTGCTTGAAGTAGACGCCACGCTGCTGGTACTAGAAGTTAGCAGCTTTTTTAGAGGAGATGGGAGTCAGGACCAGCAGTTGTGATGAGAGCCTCTTTTTCAAGGGGGAAGGATTGAAGCTGGTGCTGTTTCTGGTCTACGTGGATAACATTCTTCTTTTTAGCAGCAGCATGAAAGAAATCCAAAATGTGCAGCAGCAGCTGATGGAGAACTTGAAGTGCAAGAACCTTGGGTAGGTAAAGTATTACCTCGAGATGCACGTGGAGAGGGATCCAGATCACAGGTGGTTGAAGCTGCACCAGGAGAAGTTCATCAAGGAGCTGGGGGAGAAGTATGGGATTGAGAATGAGCGCAAGGTTGCAACTCCCCTGCCAGCAGAATTCTAGCTTGTGATGGCTGTAGAGGATGAAGGGGTTGAAGTCGAGGAGCACCAGCAACCTCAATCCTTGGTGGTGGACAGCCTCTTGTATGCAGCGGTACACACGAGGCTCGAGTATTGTGCTTGGCGGTGAGAAACACCTTGCCTTTTCCAAGTCAGTGCGGTCAACGGTGCTGCCGAATATTCTACTATTGCGCTTCTTGGGGGAAGAAATTAGAGACAATACATTGTCAGCTACCAGCTGTAGCCGATAAGGAGAGGAGGGAGGTGGAGGAAGAGGTGAAATGGTGGGGGGAAGATAGGGAGAGAAGACAGGAGGAGGAGGTTGGGTGAAGGGGCGAATGGAGGGGAGGTGGTAGGAGCACGGTTACCTAGCGGCAACCAGCAAAAAGCCACCAGCTGCAGCTAATGCGGAAGGAAAGGAGGTGGAGGAAGGGAGGAGAGGGATGAAGGGGTGGGAGGAAAGAAGAGAGGAGGAGGAGGGTGAAGAGGCGGAAAGGGTGGGCGGAGAAGGAGGGGGTGGTGCAAATGAGGCAAAGGAGGGGGAGGAGGAGGAGGGTGAAGGTGCGAATCGAGAGGGGGAAGGCACCACAAGAGAAGAGGAAGGCGCTCACGAGGAGGGTAAGGGAGGATGACCGTAAGAAGCTGAGGCTGAATGGCGGTAGGCAGGGTGCGTGCGAGACAGTAGAGGGCAAAGCCGCGCGCGCGACAGGCGGGAGCAGGCGCGTGTCTGCGACGATGGAGAGCAAAGCGTACGCGTACGACGGGACAAGGCAGGGCGCGCGCGACGATGATAAGAAGGCGGCGCATGTGTGCTTAGGGAAGATCCGTAGCTAAGAAGTACGAAGTCGTGACTAAGAGAATAGAATAAACCAAGGAAAGAGTAGAACACTATGATAAATGCCAGAGTGAGCTCTAGCCTTCTCCAACAGTGCTTTGGACAAGCAAAATATTGTCTTGTGGTGCAAAAGGCAACCCTTCACCTCTCCAACCAACCACACGCGACTATGTCGCAAACACATCACGCATGCCGTAATGGCCGGGACTGCCCATGTTTTAGCTTACCTCTGCTACTGACGCGGAAAAGTCTAACCATTTGCAGATTATGCATGTTTTTCTCACTCGACCCCTCCCGACCCGTGGTAAGTTCCCCTTGACTAAGTCCCTTGTTTGTGTCTTTCGTGGGTGTGTACCTTTGTTTGACGTGCAGCTACACAGTGCCCCCAACTTGCCACTCGTTCTCCTTACAATTTACAGCTGCAGGCACTTCCACGCTAACCAAGCAACTTGGCCACCCTCCGCCCACCCCAAGAAGAGTCCTTTCCCTGCGAACCGACAAATTCAATCCCCGCTCTCATGATGGCATTTGCCCTCCCACTTGGCCCATCACTCCTTGCCACACGCGAACCACACTTCCCTGCCCAGAAACGGCTCATATCGTTCCTCGCTATGAAATGCGACTGGCTATTGCGACCTCTTCGAACCAACGGTACGTTTGCTACGTCCCAGACCTTCCTTTCTTTTTTTCTACTTTCACCCTAACACGAAGATCCTTGCCAAGCACCTTTTAAGTACCATCTGTATAGACCTCGGCCATCCCTTCACAACCAGATGTTTGCCTCACCCTAGAGCAGCATCACGTCAATTATTGCTACACGCCAGAGCAGGTGCGTTGTCGGCCTCGCTGGAGCAGTAATGCTGCTCTGCCAACCTGCCTCCTAGACGCATGCTGCGAACCCCCACTGGGTAAGAATGGCTGCCACTCCTCACCACTTGGCCCTCGATACCCCTATTCATCTCCAACGATCCATCGGTAAGTGTCTCCTTCCCACACCACCCCGTTATCTTACTCTTTTCAGCACCATCTTGCTGCCTACCTTTAAGCCCAATGGGTACCACCAACAATTCTAGAGCAGCTTATAGCACTAACTTTACCTACCTTGGCCTTAATTAAATGCCTGGAAGTTATTTCTTCCCCCAAGCACTACCCTGCCAACTATATCTCCGTGTTGGAAGCAGCTGCGCTGGCAGCCGTGCTGGAGCAGATATGATGCTCTACCATCCAATCCCTCCTTTGCAAGAACTGCAGTTGCTCCCCTCCCATGCCACCAAACTCATGTCACCCCTGTGCCACTGGGCCTTCCCCCTCCCAACTTACGCCCCCAGAGGTACGTAGAGCTTCTTGCGCAACCTTTTCCCCCGCCCATCGCCACCTCCCTGCGGGGCTTCTTTGTCACGCCTCTCTGCCCACCCAGGGAACCCCTATCCAGCTCACGCTTTCCCTGCATGCCCTCGAGGTTTGTTTCCCACCCTTTCAACTCCGCCTTAGTTCCTTCCCTTCCTGCTACCTCGAGCTTGGCTCACTACCTCACCCCCATGCCGTGCCTTCGAGCTGGTATGGCGAATAGACACGAAACGCCAATCAGACTACCGGTCACCCTTTCGGAAAAGCTGTGGCCAATGCCTATGCGACTATTTTACTCCCCTTTCTCCCGTCCTTCATTGGCCTTGGCACTCCCCACGCCTCACCTACCCCGTGGCACCGCCTTCTGCCCGCGAGGACATCCATGTGGGCTGGGCGGCCAAGTACCTCTCCGCCCTATCACAACTTCTGCAGACCCTGGCTCCAACACCCACCAGTACATTGCCTCTCTCCTCCCGTGCTACTTCCTTACCCCCCTGCATTTGGCACTCGGCTGAGTGCCCTCCCACGAGACTATTTCGAACCCTTCGGTTCCCGATCCTCAGCACTTCTTCCCGGATTCTTATTTCCCAGGTCTCTCTTTGTTCTTCCCACGCAATGGCAGACGTTCCGCAGTTCGACAAAGACATGGAACTCACTGACAAAATGCTCCAGCAGCTCAAAGGGGAGGACCTGCCAGATGACCCCTCTGGCTGCACCCTACCCCGCTCCCCGCCCCCAAGAAACCGTGTATCGCAGCCGACTCTGTTGTGCCAACACACTATAGTGGCACGGTCATCGCACTCCCATTCAGCCTACAAGCCTACTCAGCTTCTGGAATTTTTTGGGGAGGTGCTTCAACATGTTTTCTTCACACCCTCAAAGTTCCACAATTTTTGAAGCAGTTCACAAGGCATGGCGACATTTTAAGTTTCAATACTTATGGCATCCTGGAAGTGTGTGTTACTCTTATTTGGTAACACCCGAGTTCACCATTCGGCTGCTGACTCATCTAACAAGCTCTGATTGGTCTAAAAATCAGTGTGGTAGTTCTTTGCCGTTTTTTTCAGGTGGTCAACAAGTTTCAGGACAACCAATCATCGGAGCAGCACGTGACAGTTGTCGAAAGTTACCGTTCCGTAGTCATGGTGCACTGTTGGCAGCATTTCCCTTGCCACCCTTTCATTGTTGTCATGCCAATGGTGCAGGGACAGAGAGTGAGACAAGAAGTACAGGTGGTCAAGTGGGACTCTACCACCCTCCTTTTGAGAAGTGTGGTATTCTTGGAAGCATCTTGCAAGAGGGTGCAAGTGGGAAGACAAGCTTACTCATGGTTGGCTTGACACACTATTGGTAGCCTTAAGTACAGCTCTGAACATTCAAGTGTGGTTGGATTTTCTGACCTAGCTAGGACGTTTTCCATCCTTGTCTAGCCTTTCTCCCCTGGGACTCAACCTTCTCTGAGTTCCCAGGATGATCCCAACCACTTAAGAGTCCCCTAGGCAATGTTGAACTCACCTCTTCCTTACATCAATGAAAATACACGTTTTCAACCGAGCTTACGTTTTCACCTCTGATACAAGCAAGTGATATACGGTTGGAAAGCAGAAACCCAAGGTTAACTGCTGTCCAAGTTTCAGCCTCGTATGTTATCGGAGCTGATCGTGACAGAGTTTTGAACAGAGGCAGTTTGAAATTGTCAGTTGCTACTTAGGCGGTTTCATGGGCATCCGCGACCCCTAAGTGGGGTGTAGACCATAACAGACTCCGGTGTCCCTCTGCACAAACCGATCGCCGACTCCTCGGATGTCGCAGAAGGACCCGTGGATATGCTGGGTATGATCGTGGAGCTCAACACCAGCACGTGCAGCTCCTCCGCCGCCGCCTCGGACTATGCACCAAGCGACACCGCACCCCCCGCCCCGGCCCCGCCGGCTCCCGCTCCAAGCCCCCAAGCGCCTGACACGCCTGCTGCGACTGCCGCTCCGGAGTCCCCGTCTGCGGACCTAACCCCTGGGCCTCTCCGCTCCTACCGCCAGCCCACCCCGGACCTGCTCCCCCCCATCCTCCTTATGAGCAGCCGTAGCGTTGTTATGCTGCTTTTCCCCGAGCAAGGAGCAGAGGTCATCCATGCCCCACTGATCTCCGCAATCTTCACCAAGCTGACTCCCTCCCTCTTCAACTGTGATACATCCCGGAAGCCCGCGCCACCAATGGCAAGACCCTCCGCTTTGCTGCGCATTCATGCGCTTCGATATGCTTTTCTTGGCCGACCCAGCAATCCGCCAATGAGTTCCATGCCGTTCTCAGGCACCCCATCCAGATATCCCCTGGCCGTTCCATCCGTGTCAAACCATACATCGAACCCCAACCGGACTTCACTGAGGCCAAGGTGAACAGCCCCCCCATCCTCTGCCTCATCCTCAGAATTCCCAGCCTCAACTTTTTTTTTCGACCTTAAGCCTCCGCTCACGCCCCGCCACTGCTCTCGACTGATAGTGCTACCGGGAGGCCCACTCTCATTGGAGGCATCTCCATCCTCTCTTTCAACAGGTCCATCTTACTATACTCCCCGCTTCCCAATGCAAATGGCAGACTTATCACGGTACATCTCAACTACCTTCGTGAGCAAATCCGCCTCATGGCCTTATATGGTGGAATATGGTAGAATTTTACGAGTGTCGAATATGGTGGACCACCATGCTCGTTCCGGCACTAGAAACCCCCAACGCTACCTCCGCGACCATGCTCGTCGGAGACTTCAACTCGACCGTCCTCCCCATTGACAGAAACCGCCCCCTCAAAGGTCACGAATGCCAGAAAAGGAGCATCCTTCGCTAAACTCACGGATACTCACGTGCTGGTCGACACATTCCGTGAAATCCACCCTACGCCGGCCGACGCCTTTTCTTTCTTTGTCAGGCAATGACACAACACAGTGACCCCGCCTACATCATCCCATCTCGACAAAATTTACATCGTCTCGCTGCTAGCCCATACCTCCAATGCCGCACGGCAATCACGGATCACCTGTATGCCCCTTTATGCTCGCTATGTTTCACCAACCCCACGGTCGCCCCCCCGTCCCTGGCGACTCCACCAACATCTACCCACGCGCCCCCGCGCGTCACAAATCATTGATGCCGCCCTTGCAGCCTTGCCCTCCTTCCCTTCCACGGACTCCTGAAATAGATGGAAGCTCGACCTCACCCTTTACTTCAAAAGATTCTCCAACCTGGAAAGACACTATGTCGATGGCACGATTGCGCATCTAAAGCGCACCATTGGCTCACCATAGCTGCAAGCAGCATATACGCCCTTGGACCAGGACGAGTCTTTCCGCCTTAGCCAAGCACTCCTTCACCTGGCCAGATACGAAGCCTAGCGCTCAAAGCCAAGCTCAAAGTGGAAGGGAACAGAGAAATGAGGGTCTCCTCCCTCCTCTCCGAGACACGATTAACAATACCCTTGACATCATGGACCGGGCAGCCTTCTCCTCGTCCGCCCTTCTCGCTCTTACGATGGACTTTCACAAGGCCTACGAACTTGTTGACAAGCCTTCCCTCCTCCAAGCCTTATCAGTCCTAGGGCTCTCCGCGCCCTTCATCCATTGGGTCCGACTAATGCACCCCGACACGTACACATGCATTTCGGTAAACAACATGCTCGGCCCCACCTTCCCTGCCCGCATCGGTGTTCCACAGGGCTGCCCACTGGCTCCCTTGCTCTTCGTTTGCATCATAGAGATCTTTCAGCGCTACATGTCCCTCTTCCTTCCCAGTTTCCCCTTGTCCTCCACACAGTGCTGCCTCATGGCGAGCTACGCGGACGACATCACGCTCTTCCTCAACACAGATACAGAGCTCATGTTGTAGTGATGTTTGGCATCTTTGGATCGGTCTCCGATGAGGTCCCCAACTGGAGCAAGTGCTCCATAATCCCATTCAATATCCCCCGTGCTGACCTCGTGCATGCGTGGATTATACCCATCCAAGCTCCTAATGAGGTAGAATGCATCATCGAAATCTACGTTGAGCGTCTACACCCAGGCTCCACCACCTGAAACAAGGCTCTTGCCCACACACAAAGCACCGCCGAATCTCTGGTAGCCTTACATGCCACAGCCACGTGCCGCAAATCCCTCTCCTCGATCTTTCTGAACTCTGTCACTTCCTTTCCCGGACGCTTTCAACCTGCCCTACCAAATACAACCAAACACAACGTCTCATTCATTTCCAAAGGCCTCCTGTACAACCACCCCCCAAGACGGCGGGGTCGGGGTGATCGCCCCGTCTACACAAGTCAAAGCTTTTGCAAATCAGCGCGCCCTGCGCAGTTTCAACCCACCCCCCCCCCCCCCCCCCCCCCCCTGAGGAAGTAGCACGTACCCTGACATCGTTCCCCTTCGGGCTATACGTATACTCTCCCATAAAGCCATCCATGAAAGAGGTTACCTCCCCACATTCATTCCCCCTCGGGCGTGGGACAAACTAAATGCCCTCCTCTCTCTTTCCCTAGTCATTCATGGCCCTCGTGCAACCTCACCGAACCTATCGCATTCAACCGCTCGATCCTCAAACCCGTCAAACAGCCTTTTGGCACTCGCCAACACGATGGCTTCCTCCTTACAGGGCAATTCCACATCGGATACATCGTCCGAATCACCAACTTTCATGTCGGCCCTATCTCTGCAAAAGAACTTTGCTCCCAACTCCGGGAGGAATTCCACGCGGACGCAACACGCATCCTCCCAGAGCTGATCGAGGCTATTAACCCAGATCGCTGTGGCCAGCACCTTGAGGGCCACCAGCTGCACGAGGAAAAGTCTACCTGCGGGCACACAGGGAGGGAAATAACGGGGTAGTGAGAAAAGAGTGAGGTGTGTTCCAACCGTGGACGATGGTAGTGGCAAGTAGTTAGAGAAGAAAGTCGACCTGTGAGGGCTGGGAGGGGAGTAAGGGGAGGAGGAGTTGGGGTAAGTGCTTGAGGTAATGAAGGTGGGGAATGGGAGAGTGCTGCTTTGATCTAGCAACGGAGTAAATTGGCCAGCAGGCCCGACGTGAGGCAGATGGCCATGTGGCAAACACCTTGAATGTGAGTAGGTGGAGGAGAAAGTCTACCTCAGGGGGTGGGAGAAAAGGAGCAGTGAGAGGGGGAAAGGAACATGGCGAAACAGCAGTGGTTGGTGCCATAGCCGCAGTGCAGGTGGCAAGGACCTTGAGGGCTACTAGCTCGAGGAGAAAGTCCAGCTGAGGGAGTTGAGGTGAGGAGGGGGAGGGGGAGATGAAGCAGTGATATGACTTATGGGGTTTGCAGTTACCGGGCCCGATTCATTGGTGTCACATGGCGGTGGCAACAAACTTAAGGGCTACTAGCTGGGCTGCTAATTGGAGGAGGAAGTCAAACTGAGGGAGTTAGGGAGGGGGGGAGTGCGGCCGTGTATCGCAGTGCTGCTCAGTTGCTCCTATGAATGGAGTGAGTGGTCGGCCACAAGGCAGTGCAGCAGGCTCAGCTGGTGCTACAAGGGAGTGCTAGACATTCCGAGGGCTACAACATGCATTCTAGGCAGACATGACACAGCATGTGCAGGTGTGGGGTATGGCTCAAGACTCGCACGCCATAAGATCTGGATTGGCTGTGGTGTGGTGTGGTGTGATTTGATGTGACGCCACACGCGCCACCTACACCATGCCACACAGCAGCACAACAGCAGAGCAGCAAATGGTGTGTGAGCAACGATGTGTGGGACATGACACACTCAGCAGCGAGTGGGAAGAGCCTGCACTCTCGTGTGGCAGGCTCATCTAGGGCGCAATGGCAAGCAGCGTAGAGGCGAAGATAACTAGCCCCCGTCCCCCCTGTAGCAGAGGCCGAGGAGGAGTTAAAGGGCAGCTCTGGTTGCGGGGATGAGAAATGCAAGGGGCAAACAGGAGGGAGACATGAAAGGCGTGAGCGCAATGGATACCCTCTCTCCAGCAGCACAAATCGCAGAGGAGCCGCTCTGGTGGGGGAGAAATGGTGGGAGAAGGAAGAGAGCGGCGTGATAGCAGGCGGTGAGATCAGATGCAATACACGGGAGGAGATCGAGGGGCGGCTTTGGTGTGGGGAGGATGGTGAAAATTGGGACGGGGGATAGCAGCAGGGGGTTGGTAGACGGTGCAAGAAACTCACCTGCTGTCAACCTGAACTCATTGTTGGCACTCTGAAGACTACCTACCTCCGTGCTGGCAATGTGAAGAGCACTGACTGGCGGGCGATCTGAACTCGTAGAGGGGGATGTGCACGGCGGGGTCGGAGCCGAGGATCTGCTGTGACAACACGGCGGCCAGCACGGACGCTAGCAGCACCATGGCCGTGGTCAAGGACGCGGGTGAGGACGACACGGACGAGCGCAGCACCGACTCCTAAGCAAAGAAACACCCTGCCACCGCTGCGGTGAACCCTGCTCACGGACAGTAGGAGGCGGGACGATTGGGACCAGTTGGGGGCGATTGAGAGAGCAGCAGCAGGGCAGTGTAGAGGGAGGCGGGTGAGGCCTCATCCAGCACAAATGGTAGACTCACGAGCACACAAACCAGGCACCAATACACGAGTCCAATCAACTCAGCAGCATACACATGAGACTCACCAGCAGAGATACCAGCAGTGGAACCAGCACCAACGAGGGCAATTGTGCGCTCCCTCCCCCCCTGCAGCACGCGGCCTGCCCCCTTGTAGACGCTCGCCCCCTTGCCCACGCTCGCCCCAATCTCCACACTGGGCACCTCGGGCCCCAAGCTGTTGCCCGTGCCCAGTGTCACAGCCGCTGCCACCGCCTTGAGCATTGGGCGCAGCACAGCTACGAGATTGTGAGTGGCTGACTGGGCTGCGCGCGAGGCCAAGGACATGCTGCTGCCATCGCCGCTGCTGCTCTCACTGCCGCTGCCATACCCATGAGCAGCACTGCCTGTGCTATTACTGCTGCTGCTGCCACGTGGAGGCTGTCTGACCAATGGCAGGTCCTTGATCTCCGATCGGGCGGTGTTGAGGATGCCCACCGCCACACCGCCCGCCAGCGGCACGAAGATATGCAGGTGCCATGTGGCGGCCACCGACTGGCTGTGCAGCCACGTGGAGCCCTCCTCGGGCGGCACGCCCTGCCACTCGGTATCTCGGATGGCATGCACCTGATGGGGGAGGGGGGGGGAGAGCAAGGGGGTGGCCGATAAGTGGGGTGAAACGTAAGTGGGGTGAAACGTAAGTGGGGTGAAACGTAAGTGGGGTGAACCGTAAGTGGGGTGAAACGTAAGTGGGGTGAAACGTAAGTGGGGTGAAACGTAAGTGGGGTGAAACGTAAGTGGGGTGAAACGTAAGTGCGACAGGCTGGCAAGAGAAATGGGGTGATGAGCAAGAGGCCGTAAAATAGGCGGGCCGAGAAGCAAGTGGGGCTACATATGGGGGGAGATGGGGCAAGGAATAAGTAGGGAAATTTGAGAGGTGACACGTGGCTCTACAGATTGGAGGGGGACAGTTGGGAGGTGGAGCAAAGCGGCGCTACTATGAAAAGCGTCATGACAAGCACCGTAATGATAACGCGACACTCACGGCTTCATTGAAGAGCGACACAGACGCGCCAGTGATGAGCCCCACAACGCATGCCGTCACCAGCACTGCTGACTCTGGCGGCAGCGCTGCCGCTACCACCCGCCCCGCCTCCCCCACTACCTGCGCTACCCTCCCCATCACCGCTCCCCCCCACTCCCCCCACGCTAGTTCCCCCGCCTCGGCCCCACATGCTGCCGCTGCCACTGCGGCATTTGATGCTGCTAATTCTAGCAACCCTGCTGATACCGAGCTTGTTGTAATCGAACCTCCTACCAAACCTGCTGTTGCTAATGCAGGGGTTCCTAGCCTCGAATCTGCTCCCAGCGTGCGTGCTGCGTCGCCTGCTGTCGACCCTCCTGCCCCTAATTCCACACCCAGCCCCTCCTTCCCCTTCCTAAATCTCCCTTCCCCATCACCAAGCCCCCTTTCTCTGCCTGTGAGTGCGCCACAACGGCCGCCGAGCCATCACCAGATACATCTAACAGGCGACGCTCAGCTGCACCACTCCATCTCCTTCCGCTCGTAACCTTCAATCTTCCTCCTGCCGTGGATGCGAGCGCAGTGGTGGGGGATGCAGGCCACCACGCGCCATGGCAACCTCCTGCACCCAACCCTAATGCTGCGCCTTCCCCCAACAATTGTGCAATGCCTGAAAGGACAGCTAGTAAGGCATCACGCCAGCTGAGCGCGCCTGACGGCGCGGCCTTTGCACTCACACGCGCGCTTGGCGCACTGCTTGCAGGACCCACAGCAGCTTCAAAGGGACCGCCCGGTGCTTCGCACTCGCCCCTCTTGCCGCGTTTCTAGAAAGCACTGCCGATGCTGACAGGCTAGTACGTGGAAGAGACGATAGCGCGGAAGAAAAGGTGGGGAGGAGCGTCGGAGGCAAGAATGGGAGTCACGGCAGTGGGGAGCACGAGGGTGCACGCGCAGGGGAGCACTCGCGGAGGGACAATGTGTGCATTGGTTGCTGACCGCGTAGGGGGAATGGGGGCAGGAGCGCGCACGAGGGATGACTGTTGAGGCGCATCTGGCACTGATTGGGTGAGGGGGCAACATGGATTGGCTTGTGACGACAGGAAGGGTGTAACAACCACGGCCCTAATAACAACGGGCAAGTGTGTGTTAAATATAAATCCTCCTTTACAATTTACATAAAATCAAGATACAAGGCTTCCAAGATAAAACTAATCCCACCAAGGAATATTCTAGCCTTGATAGTGCTCTTGAAGATTGAGAGGAGAACAAGGACTTGAAGAGTTGATGAAGCTTTAGTAGGTAGGTAGGTAGGTAGCTTTTTGTAGAGCTTGTCCTTGAAGAATCACAAGTCTAGTTGTGTAGAACTTGTTAGGAGAACCAAAAGACTTAGAGTAAAGATCCCATTTCCAAGTTAGATTGTTGGAGTTGGGAAGTGGGAATGAGCTTGAAAGCTCCAACCTCTTCCACAATACCCCTTGGGGCTCTTCCCAACCATGATTTCCATGGTTGGGGAGCTAATAGGCTTAGAGACTAGGTGTAAATTTAGTTTGGTTGGGAAAAACCCAACTTAGCACAATTGTATGGCTGTTTTAAAGTTTGTGTTGATTGTAACAACATCTGTCAAGTTCTGATTGGTTGGAAATCCAACCATTCCATCTTCACATTTGTTGGGTTGGGAAGTTCCAAGCCTCAAAGCTGGGGTTTGGAAGTGTCAAACCAATCTTCCCCTTTAACCCATTCTTCCTAACCCAACCAACACAATTCCCGTAGTCTCTTTCATTGTCGAGAAGAGTTTCGACCTTGACTAGAGATGTTAGTTAGATGGCTAGCTAGGTTGTGCGTTACATTCCTCCCCCCCCAAGGTGGCAACGTCCCCGTTGCCTTAGGGTGCTTCTGAGGACGAGCGCTTTGAGCACGCCGTGTCACATGACGACCAGGGTCAACACCATCCACTGGCTGTGCGGCAGCTCGTATCCCGGCCACAGTACACATCACTCAAGGCCCACCTGGTCTTCTTGACCCCTAGGTGTCCTCCGTACATAGCGGCATGCACTTCTTCCAAAATGTCATTCTGCAGGTTACCCACGTGAGGTACATCAATCTCATTCTTATGCCACCAGAGCTCATGCTCCCACTTGAGTTCCTTCGTGTTTTGTGGGTTCTGAAACCAGGAGTCAATTTGATACCCTGTGCGGATGCGTTTCAGAAATCAACAGAAGGTAATCTCACTCACTCGAGTCGTTGCTAGGACACTGAAGCAAGCAGAAAATACTGCCACATCCTCTGTGTTGTCTAGCCTTGTTGCTGCCCCTATTGGGTGTCTGCTGAGGGGTCAGCCAGGTTCGTCGAACCTGCTCGATATCGAGTATCGAAAGTGAACCCACTAAAGATTTCCGCCCATCGGGCTTGACGTCGATTAAGAGTGGCTTGGGTGGAGAAGTAGGCGTTTGGACAGTGGTCTGTCGTAACCACAAACGCCACATCCTCCAAATAACATCGCCATGTTCGTAGCGCATAAACAACTGCCAACAGTTCCTGTTCGGACGTCGTATAGCGCTGCTCTGCCGGGGAGAGCTTTCGACTCTCAAATGCCAATGGTCTCCCCTCCTGGAAGAGGACAGCCCCTATCCCTATCAATGAGACGTCGGTAACGGCCTAACAGTGTTTCGTCGGATCTGGTAAAACTAGTACCGGATCGTTGGTCAACATTTGCTTAACCTCGTTGAATGTCTTCTGGCATTTTTGTGTCCAATGTCAAGCGGTAATCTTGCGAGTGAGGGCCGTCAATGGAGCAACAATGGTGGAATAATTCTGCAAGAATCGACGAAAATAGTTTGCTAGTCCCAAAACCAACCTTATTTGACCCACATCTTGTGGCACCGGCCAGTTCTGGACTGCAACAACTTTCTTTGGGTCCACTTTGAGACCATCATTTTCCACGAGATGGCCAAGATATTCCAACTCGCGTTCGTAGAAATGACATTTCGACAGACGAGCATAGAACTTAAGGTGTCGCGTGTGCTCCTCTTTCGTCTTGGAATAAACCAAGATGTCATCCAGATAGGCCAGAACTAACTGTCCAATCGCCTTGCGAAAGACATCACTCATGGCCCTCTGAAAAAAGGAAGGAGCATTGGTCAAGCCAAAGCTCAGCACTCGCCATTGAAAATGACCAAACGGTGAACGAATAGCCGTTGTGGGTACATCTTCTTCAGTGATGCCCAATTGATAATACCCCTGTGCGAGGTCTAGTGCGCTGAACCACTGGGCACCTTGGAGTTTGTCAAACAGATCCTCGATCCTTGGTAGGGGGTATCTGTTTTTCACCGTTATCTTGTTAAGAGCACGATAGTCTATGCACATGCGTAACCCTCCGCCCTTTTTGTTCACGAACAAAATTGGTGCTCCATAAGGTGATGCGCTTGGTTCAATCCATCCCTTCCTGAGGTACTCCTCAATCTGCTATTTAGCCTCCTCGTGCTCAGCTGGGCTAAGGCGATACAAAAGTCTAAATGGTGGGAATTTTCCAGGCTCCACCGGGATGGTATGACCGACACCACGGTCCGGAAGAAGGCCATCTGGGATGGGCTCAAAAACCTCCGCAAACTCGTCTGCTAGTGCTTTCATCTGAGGCGTGAAATCCTCAACCCCAGGCAGTTCGTGTTCATCATTCTCAAGCTGTACCACAAAGAATGTATCAGCTTGTCGAACAAGCTGTCTGAACTCATTTGCGAGCGCAAAACTCACGTCGGGGCGTTCCAACGTGGGTTGGTCGTTTGTGATCAAGTCCTTAGGCACTTGCCACTGGACAGTGTCACCATTCTTTGAGAATGAGACCATATTATCTTGGAAATCGAGCTTGACCTCATTCGCTCGGAGCCAATCCATTCCAAGGACAAGGTCAACGTTTGGGAGAAGGGGTAACACATATGCGCAAATTACTTCGCGATATCCCTCAATTTCCATGTTGATCCGTGTCCACCCTTTGCTCGGGATGATGTTATCATCACTAAGGCGAATGGGGCAAGACGGTCCTTCAACAAGGATCATGCGTGCTGTGACCCACTTTTCATCAAAGAGGGAAACAGTTGCGCTCGTGTCAACAAGGATTTTTGCGTTTTCCCCGTTCACACTTCCCGCAAGCAACAAATGTTGTTGATGCTTTGGGCGAATTGGACATGCCACAACATTCGTCGGAGGTTTGAAATACACCTTGACGTTGTGACGAGCACGTCCATGTGACTGAGAGTTGGTCCACCACACATGGTGTCCCTTGTCCCACGCCACTAGGACCGGCCATCGACATAGCGCATTGAACAATTCGCCTTTCACTGGGCAAGTCACCAATGCGACCGAAGTCAGGGGGTGCTCTTGAGTGCAACGACTCACAATCTCAATGACAGAAGGCAGAATGTCCAAGCCACAGAAAATAATTTAAAACTTATCCTGCATTGCTTCCATGGAAATGTTCTCAAGTGGGTACGATCGAGGATAAAAAACAGAGTTTTTATTAAAAGAAGAGGCAAACAAACAAGAGATTTTGCAATCAGCAAGCTTCTCTAGCTTTAATATACCATCATCACATAGCACATATGCCTCATCCACTCGATCTACTCCTCCAAGTAGGTACCCACACCCTAGTTGGGCTTCTGAAAATCCTTCTTTCCATAAGGTTCAGCGCCTCTTGGCTTAGGCTTCCCAGAATACTTGATAGTGTTCTTGTCATGGCAGTGCTTTTGGACATGCCCCATCCTTCCACAGCCTCTGCAATGCTTGTCGGAAAAGTCCGGCTTGTTAGGGCCATGAACTCCCCCTCTGTTAGGCCTCTTGGCCTGTGGCCCAGGCTGGTGATCTCGCTGCTGCAAAGGCGACTTGTTCCAACCGCCCCCGCCATTGGCATTCTGGGGTCGGTTCCCACGACCACCAGAGCCCTCAGCACGGGGCTGCTGGTTTGGCTTTGCAGGACCATAAATGTACGTGCGGATGATGTTGTCAGTTTTGATCACCTGCTCCTTCATCTCCTTGTAAGTCGTCCAATTGGTCAGGCCACCGGTCATGTGTGCCTGGTGCAGGTTGACAGGGAGGCCCTTCATGAAGATGTGCATCATCTCCTCCACAGACATGGGCTTTTGGAGCAAGCGTGCTGCGGCCTCAAACTCGACCGCATATTCCTGCACCGAACGGTCATGACACTTGATACGCTCAAGGCGTCCTCGCAGTTCCAGGTCGGACTTCTTGACCATGAATGCCTCCTTCAGCGCGGTGCAGAACTCCGCCATCCAAATGGTCCCTCCGCCTGCTTCTTAGCGCCATACACTGCCCTGCGGGCCACCTTGTCCAATGCATGAGTGGCTGCACTTACGTGAGCATCAGGGCGCACATTCGCAAGGGTCATGGTGTCATTCACCAGGTCAAGCCAAGGCTTCACCTCCGTCTTACTATGGTTAAATTCAGGCACAGGCGCCGAGAGAGACCCAACGGGCGAGGTCTCGGTTGTAGGTGGCTGATGCACATCCGTCGCAGCGCCTACCGGCGGAGGTGCGGGCGGAGCGAGTGCCGGCTGAGCAGCAGGAGCGGGCCTACGTCCAGGATGAGGCTGGTAAATGCCCTCCCTCCTAAGCTTCCTGAACTGCTCATAGAGCTTGTTGAATGATGCTTCCATATTGTTGCATCTTTCCTGAAGCGCCTCAATTTGGCGATTTTTTAGGCCCAGGCTGCGACGGAATTGGCAAGCCTCCTTCGTGACAACGCCTAACTCAGCCTTAAGCTTGTTAGTCAGCTTTGTGAGTCCATCAATGGACTTCTGCTGCTGCAAGATGGTGATATTCTGGGTTGACACTTTAGCTTGTAGTTGGACAATCTCCTCTGAGACAGGATAACTCATGCCTTCACCCTCAGTGAAGTCATTTTCATCACCAGTGTTCTCCTTTTCACCGGTGTTGTCCTCCTCCCCATTGTTATCAGCTTCACCATGGTTATCAGCTTCATCATGGTTATTAGCTTTAACATGGGTATCTGGTTCAACATAGTTATCCTTATCCTCCAGGTCTAGGTTCTCGATGTCATCCAGCTCAATGTCAGCCATTGCCTTATCTTGATTGAGACCAATCTCAGCAGCATTATTCACCACCTCATTAGGTGCACTGGGCCCTTCCTCCCTTGCCATATCCTTCTCTTGGCCAGATACCATAAGGATTCAGGGAGCTTGTAAGATCTGGGTTGATTCTGTTAAGTCTGTTTACCACCTCAATGGTGAAGCAAGAAATTCGTGTAAAATAAATTTCTTCTACAGAGTAATCCAAGGTTACCTAAGGTAACAAATTTGTTGTCAAACACTCCCAATCACCTAAGTGAAAGCGTAGGGTCTATTCAAATCTCAATCAAGAGAACTTGTATAACCATCAACAAATCTACCAGATCAAAGTTTATACTCCACTACTCAACAGTAGAGAGTCTTCCACCAAAAGGTGGGCAAGAGAGATAAATCTCTCTTTTTAGCTTGACGTTGCAGTTGTAGATCTTGTAGATCTTGAACTCTTCAAGCTTCCAGATCTTGACTGCTCTCTTAAAGAGAAACCACAACTCCAAGATCTATAAACAAAATCTCTAGGGGCAAAATCCCCACTGGGCTTAGGATAACCCTAGCTCTAGATACCAATGTAACAACCACGGCCCTTATAACAACGGGCAACCGTGTGTTAAATATAAATCCTCCTTTGAATTTTATATAAAAGCAAGATACGAGGCTTCCAAGATTTAACTAATCCCACCGAGGGATATTCTAGCCTTGATAGTGCTCTTGAAGCTAGAGAGGAGAACAAGGACTTGAAGAGTTGATGAAGCTTTAGTAGGTATGTAGGTAGGTAGCTTTTTGTAGAGCTTGTCCTTGAAGAATCACAAGTCTAGTTGTGTAGGAGAACTTGTTAGGAGAACAAAAAGACTTGAAGTGAAAATCCCATTCCCAAGTTAGATTGTTGGAGTTGGGAAGTGGGAATGAGCTTGAAAGCTCCAACCCCTTCCACAATACCTCTTGGGACTCTTCCCAACTATGACTTCCATGGTTGGGGAGCTAATAGGCTTGGAGCCTAGGTGGAAATTTAGTTTGGTTGGGAAAAAACCCAACTTAGCACAATTGCATGGCTGTTTTAAAGTTTGTGTGGATTGTAACAACACCTGGCAAGTTCTAATTGGTTGGAAATCCAACCATTCCATCTTCACATTTGTTGGGTTGGGAAGTTCCAAGCTGCAAAGTTGGGGTTTGGAAGTGTCAAACCAATCTTCCCCTTTAACCCATTCTTCCTAACCCAACCAACACAATTCCCGTAGTCTCTTTGATTTTCGAGAAGAGTTTCGACCTTGACTAGGGATGTTAGTTAGATTGCGTTACAAAGGGAGCCATTGCGAGCACACGCGAAGCGGAAGCGGAATGCAACTACTACAAGAGGGAAAAAATGTCACGCCGTCTAGGTCTACAACGTACGTGCCGCATAGATGGTTTTTCGTTTACTCGTTTGCGACTGCTCAGGCGCAGCGCCTACCATATGAATCTGCTAGTTGAAGTTGGCCTGTTCGGTGCTAGTCAGAGGTCACAGAATTAATAACACACACTCGGACCAGTTGGGTTGAGCAAATGCACATTCCTGAATGAAGGCCTCGTCAGATGCTCTATGGATAATGCTTCATTGCACAAATCAAATCCACGAAAGAACTACTCAAAAGTACAAGGCGACTGTCAACGGAGCGTCTGATTCAAGCCCAAAGTCCGCATGGTTTTTGCCAAACTACTGGAGGGATTTAACCGTGTTGGCAAAGTGCAAAAAAAACTCATTTCGGGAATATGGGCGTGGAAAAATCGAGATTAGGCAATGATGAGATTGGCCCTGTTCGGTAGCCTCCCAGTCGCACGGGCTGGACCCGCTCGAACTGGGGAAGCGTCCGAGATGTTGTGTAGCCTCGGGCTTCGACTCACACTGAAAGGGACTTTCGAGTCTAGTTCAGGTTAGTTTCCTTAAGATATTTAGTAACTTTCTCTATACGATTACTGTACCAGACTGACCCAAAAACAAATCGAACTTGCCCGTTGCAAGGTTACCCTCCTATTCAAAGAGGAAAACAAAAACATCACATGCTGTGCGCCAGCTCTATTGGTTTAAGAATGTAAGAGCTAGAACTGTTGGCCCGAAACTTGTCAATGTAAAGTTAACCCAAAACGGTGCCACTCAGAGTGGCCCTCGCGGAGTGTAATTGAAACCCAAAATTGAGAGCCACTTCCACTACGAGTCCAGTTTGCCTGGGAAGTAAAATTTCCGTGCGGTTTCTGCGCCCGCAGTCACAGTTGGCTTTTGTACCGGTAGCATTCATTAGCCAAGTCACAATGGGCAGGTTTGGTGTTCCAATATCGAGTCCATGGGCTTTAACAGTCTCCAAAATTGTACACAAGAACTTGCCTTCCACCAATCACAGTATGAGTGGGACCCCTACCGAATAGGGCCATTGTGTAGTCGTCACTCAACATTGGTTGGTTCGTGCGACAAACCAATCCAACAGTGTGAGAAAGAACCACCAAATGTGTAAGCCAAACCTCACTATTAGGGCGCATGTAATCTGTTGTTACGGGTACAAAGGATCGAGGCAGCGAGGATTGCACTAAGGTGTTAAACGAGTACAAAATGTGAGCGAAGGCATGAGCCAACATCTATACGCGAAACATGCAAAGGTAACGCGGTGCGTGCGAGCTAGATAGTGCTAGGCTGGCATCGTGACTCGGGCTAGTCCCGAGGTAGAGGCCAACACAGCCGGGCCAGCGGTGCATGATTTGGTGAAACCGTGCGCGCGAAGTTGGCGAAGCCCCATTAGCAGTAACGAGCGAACAACAGCTGCTGCTGTATGCGATGTTGTAGGACGCGGTAAGGAATGTCGAGAAAATTCCTTACACTTACCCCCCCCCCCCCCTTCAAGAATCCCCCTCTGCTACGCGAGTGCGTGTATATCGCGGAAACCCCGGCTCCTCAGGTACACTTGCAGGGTAGGGTGGTTTTCAATGTTGGCCAGGGGCACCCAGCTATCCTCAAATGGCGTGCGGTCCTTCCAGCGAACGAGGAACCCGATCCTCCTGATTCCCGTGGGGTGTCGAATCCGATGGCTTAGAATCTTTTCGGGCTCGATGATCGGCTCCGATGCAGGGCGAGTCATGGATGGCGGGCGGTGACGAGGCAGTTGGCTCGTGGTTGGGATGTAGGGGTGAAGCAGGCTTACGTGGAATGATGGGCTGATGTACTAGTCTGTTGACAACAGTAAGTGGGCTATAACTGGTGTGATCATGTGGCTGATTTGGAATGGTCCACAGTAGTGTGGTCGTAATTTCGGCACAACGGGCAGTCTTAAGTTTTGTGTGTTGATCAGTATATAGTCTCTTGACTGGTACGTAACTGGGCGGCGGTGATGGTTAGCGTTGCGTTTTGTGATGACGTTGGCTTTTTTTACTGCTTCTGCGGCTCTTGTGCGGACAGCTTGCAGAATCTGGGCAAATTGCTGTGCGTGAGGCGTTGGGTTGTCCGGACTCAGCGTCATGGGCACTCTTGGGTTTTGCCTATAATTCAGGTAGAACGGGGACTGCTGGGTCGTTGCTGACATGGCGTTGTTGTAGGCGAACTTGCTCAGTGGCAACTGCTGCTCCCAAATTGTCGGGTCGTCGCACGTGGCCCAAATCAACTCCTCCATCGTCTGATTGGTCCGCTCCGTTTGACTGTCGTTCTCGGGGTAGTACGATGAACTGAACTGTAGCCTGGTCCCGAACTGCTCCCAGAGGTTCTTCCAGAAGTTGCTGGTGAACTTTGTGCCACAGTCGCTAATTATCGTGGCTGGTATCCCGTGCATTCGAACGACCGCTGCGATGAACAGGCGAGCGGTTTCTTCGGCTGAGATCGATTTCTTGCACGCAGCAAAAAGAGCCATTTTTGTCAGTTTGTCAATGACAACCATTACTGCGTCGTTACCCACAGGGTTCGAAAGTAACCCTGTGACAAAATTGTCAACGGCAGTTGGGTGTGGCCCCGTCCTCGCTTGGGCGGAGCCGACCTCATGGTCGGGTGTACCGAGGAGTGCAGCTGACCTGCAACAATGGGCGAGCTGGTCGACGGGGTGGTTGACCTGCGCGAGAGCCACTGCACTGGCGCCTACTTAAGGGCGCCTACTATGGGGTGGTCGACCAGGAGGTCGACCGAACCTGGTGGTCGACGAAGGAGGGACCGACGTCGACCTCGACAGGGGAGGCTGGGGACGCCGAGCAGCTGGGGCGTCGAGCAGCATGGCGATGGGATGGAGGGCGCCGACCTTGGGTGGCGGACGACTTGGTGAAGTCGGCGGCTTGGTCCCGAAGTGGTCGACGAGGGGGCGTCGACCAGAGAGGACGCGGACCTGACGACATCGACCTGGTTGCCCGGTCGACCGGGATACCCGGGCGACGGACTTCTACGGGAGCATGCGAAGGTCGCCGGGGTGACTTCTGCGAGACCGACCTCGGAAGTGGTATCCTGAGGTCGACGTGGCTGGTGGGCGTAGTCGCTGGCGTGGAGTCTGTCAGACGTATGCGCTTTGCTCGTGACAAGGAGTGGCGCACCAACCAGCTGCGCGCACCTGCGAAGCAGGTGCTTCGTTGTCCTGCGGGTGCAACGCTATGGAGCCGACTTGCTGTAGCGTTGGCACACCGTGGACTTGCAACGCTGGCAAGCTATGATTTTGCTCTGCTGGAGGGCGGTCCACCAAGTTGTGCTGGCACGCCGTCGACCGAGCTGCGCTGGAGGTCGACAAGCAGCTTTGCTAGGTCTGATGTAGTCTTGCATGCCAATGTTGTTGCTATCATTGTTGTCAACTTTTTTAGTGAAACTCTTGCCATATTGCCCCGTGAACTAGCAAGCAATGTGTGCACTAGGAAAAATGACTAAGGAACGCAGAGATCATACGAGCACCCATGCCTAGCCCGTAGCCTACGAGTTTTCTCCGCAAAAATCCATGGTAACCTGCTGCCAGGCGCGCTCGAGCGGTGGAATCGGCTGCAACTGACCCTCCTTTGTTTTTTCGCGAGCTCTTCATCACCTGACACGTAGGAGACGAGCCCACGTGGTGCTGTACGTTGGACAAGAGCTACAGCGAATAGTAATAACGCTGCAGTTGCTGTCGCATTTTTTTTAC